TAAACCTTTGCATTTGAATGAGACTAGGTGTTTTGCATCCCCCAATTCCATTAATGGCTATTTGACAAACTGGGGGGGAAATAGCACCAGTACCTTCAGGGCTTTTTGTGCAGAGGCTCTCCTGCGCATGTCCGCTACGTGTGTGTGTAGATGGCCCTATTCGTGCCAGGCGTACACACGAGCTTCCTCGTTTGTTGCAATTTCTTTTATATTCTGTGATTGGTTTTACATGGTTAAACGATCGCATTTTCAGAGAACAGTGCGTGTTAGTTACAGAGTCGCTGTAGTATTCGTAGGGACTGACTCTGTATTTGACAAGAAATCGCTTGTGCTTTGCCTCAGTTTACTGAACGGGTGTGTGCAGTGAGATGAATCCTGCTTTTTCCATGGCATCTCCATGTGCTGCTCGCAGCTCTCTACACACAGGCACCCACGGCATCTGTTGAAGCTTCCTATGAACATCGTTACGGAAAACATGGGTTTTACTGTCCTTGGCTTTTTGCTCACTTACTGTGCCGGGACAGACTGTTCTGTTAGCGTGTGGCCTGAAAGCTTCCTCGTGAATGAATTCAAGTCACATTCTTTACTAGGTAAGAAGTACTAAGGAAACAGATGCGTATGGAAAAAAACAGCCAAGAGCAATTCCTTCAGCCATCAGACCTGCTTGCTTTCAACGTGAGGAACAGTGGGTGGAACCCGAGGGCCACATCTCTCATGGTTTCAGCAGTGCCGTTCGCACACACGACTGATGAACAGCGTGGACATTTCACCGCGGCAGCAGGAGGGTCAGAGCCTGCATCGGTGCTTTAGAGGAGACCAAAGCGCAATACATTCAGAGCTGCCAGCCCACCGACCTGTCCAGGGACTCTGATACTGAGCTGGGAGACAGGAGAAAAGTGAAAAGATGATTTTAAAAAGAGCGAGAGGGAGAGAGAAGGCTGTACCAAACGATAGCACGAGAAGAGCTCACTGAAGAAAAGCAGTGATGGGGAGGTGATAGGAAACATTGCTCGACATGAAAAACCTCAGAATTCAAGAAGGGCAGCAAGGACCTCTTTGACGGCATTATTAATCATCTTTGTGCCGTTTCCACAACCAATGAAAATTTCATAATAAATCCAGGTTTTGATGCAAGAGGTGAACACCACCTACCCCAGAGCAGAAAAGGCGTCCTTTTGAAAATGGTCCCTGCTTTTTTAAGGCAATACCCCGTCCTTTCTCATATTCATGTGGCTGGCTTGTGGCAAGGCATCTTCCATCATTATTCATAGAAGTCTTACCCTAAAAAAAGAGGCTTCAGTATTTTATTAATGATTACTTTGGAAAAGATGCTTACATTTTAATTTAAAAAAATAATAACATCTCTTACTAATTGCAGGGCTTTGTTGGTTTGGGGGGGGAGGTTGCCCCAAGGCCAGAAAAGCTTCAGCGAGCTATCCATTTTTACATGGGGCTTTTTTCCGTCTCCTTCGTATAGCATTTTAAGGATCCCATAATCAGACCATAGCTCAGCTTGTAAATTGATGAATTATGAAAATTAAAAACTTCCCTTCCTTTTACTTTAGTAGAACAGCTTCCCACAGTAGCACAGATCCAGAGACTGTGCTCAGAAATGTCCCCCCAAAAGGCCTGCAAAGCTCTGCAGAGCAAATCTGGTATCTCTGGTTTGCTTCTTAAATGATCAGTTTGATGGTCTGTCTTCTAATTAATGAATATCTGCCAGCAAACCCACAGATTGTTTGGCCACACAGGTCTTAATGTGTGATTACTTCAGAGTTAGTTCTTTTACTTGCATCACTTCTCCGTGTTTCATTCTTCCTACCTGATGCCTTTCAGATTAATTCAAACCAATTTTTAATGATGAAGCCAGGGCAGAGGGCCGGTCGAAGGCAGGAGGGGTGCAAGGGGCAGGGAAGCCCTGTATCGCCCGTCTCGCTGCTCCTGCTGCCCGGGGAAGCGAAAAGGCCAAGGGCTGGGCACGCGCCGGGGCCCCGCAAGCCCCCCCGGCACCAGCCCTCCTTGGCCCTCAGCGCAGAGCCAGGGGGCTGCCGGCGCCCGGCCCGTCCTGCCCTGCTCAGCGCCTTCCCCCGGTACAGCCTAGAGCCCCTCCTGAACCACAACGTGTCAGAGCAGGAATCCTAGGAAAATACCATGTTAACAGTAGAAACGTTGATAATTTCCAAAACAGCAATTAATATACTTGCCTGGCTTTGGTCTCGGCAGCGGGTCGCCTTCTTTTGTTTAAGGGGTAAATCCAGTTTTAAATTCCAGTGGAGGTACTTTGCTTTATGCCGCCCATGCGCTACACTCATTAGCTATAGCTAATCAATTCCTAAACTGAACAGACATGGCTAGCTAATATGAAAGTTCTAAGAGTAATCCTGACCATGCTTTCGGAAGGTGGAAATGATATTAGAGTTGCTCAGAATAAAATTAAAACAAATTTGGAAAAAAAAAAATAAGTAACAGGATTTCATAAGATTTTCAGAATTGTTTCATTTGACTCCCGAATCCCCCCAGTTGCTGTCTGAGCGGCGCGTACGCGCGTACCTGTGCGTGTGCGAGAGCGCGATGCAAGGATGGACCGAGGGCGCAGCAAGCTGTGACCGCGCAGGATGAAGGGTGCCAGCATTCCCAGCCCCACAGTAGTTCGCCGAGAACTTTAAACTCTCCCTGGTTTTCCTTTGATGCGTTTCTGTGGGCAAACTTTTAAAAGAGTGCAGGAATAATGGAGGAGAAGCTTTTGATCCCTCCCTCCTTTAGGTACATTTAAAAAACTTTCTAATGGGAAATAAACGGTCTGTTTAAAAAAAAAAAAAAAATCAGCATCTCTATTTTTATATGCGGCAATGTTTTCACTCAAGTAGACATTAGGAAACTGGGTAGACTCTCCTCAGCTTTAGTCCCTACATCTGTACATATAGCCTACATAAATACATTTATTTTACTGAACGCTTGGGAAAATTCGGGTAATATATTCCAGGCCGAACACGAAGTGCAATGTCTCACCTGCTGTTCAAGAAGTGGCATTTAATTGAATAATTGCACAGAGTCGATAGCTAAGGCCGGCAGCGGTCAGTACTGGCGGGACCAGCACGTCACCGTTTCCATTGCCTGACCTGTCGGGGTATCCCAGCGCGGAGTAGCTGAGAGCAAGCAGGTTCAGTAGCTGTGCCATCAGATGAAGTACCTTGATGGTGCGTATTGATATGGCTAAATATATAAATATGAATAATAAAGTCAGCTTTAAAGACACAGAGCCTCAGTTACAAGCGATGCAACCCAAATACTGACTTTTAAAATACAGCTCATTTTTTCAGCCTGTTACATTCTGGTTTTCTGGGTTGTTCATCTCATCACATTTATTGGGAGGTGATTTCCTCTTCCTTGTACATAATACAAACCCTGGTTTTTGGAATGCATATATATAGACCATTGAAATTCAGACATAAGGCTGTCATCAGTAACATGTGCTGGCTTTGGACCTTAATGCTCACATTTTGACACTACAGTTCAGAAGCCGGACAACACCGTTAAATCCACAGCTCTCAGTAAAAACCTTTGATAGCCAAAGGAGACACTGAAAAAATCCTTTTCCTGTCCTCTCTCCGCCGCAGCTCCAAGTCTACGGCGCGTTGTTACCGTTGGGCCCCGCTGGGCGCAGAGCACCCAGAAAGCAGCGCCCAACGAGCATCACTTGAGGACTTGGACTGGTTCACTTTTAGTTCTCATAATATTTGGGTTGCTTTTAAAAACAAAGAAGTTAACGTTTATAAAACAGTACTGGTTTGTAACAATAAATAGCAATGTTTAGAGTTAAATTAACAATATTTACCCCATTCCCGGTTATTGAGGGTATTGCCAGGCTTAGGAGTGCATAAACAGCCGTAATGTTGTGTCTGCTTCTAAACCAAAGAATCCTTTCCCTAATTCTCTGGGTGAAAATGTTTCCAGTTAGGCTCTGCCCAGACAGTAGGAAAAGATCTTTGCTAAAAGTGCCTCCCCTAGGGAGGAGCGAGCTGTAATCCAGCCCGTGCTCCGCTAGTGACAGCACCCGGCACGAAACACGGAGCGAGGCGTTGGGGTAGTATGGTCCACACCTCTGCACATTTACCCAGCGGAACTTCGATTTGCATTAAGTAGTACAAAGTAAAGCTGTCAGGTTTTCAGGTACAGTCGCATCACGCAGCCCTGAGCCTCTTGCCCGCGTTGTTCTCTCTCGGCTCTTGTCAAACCTGAGGGCTGCGGCAGCGGCAGCAACAGCGAGAGCGCTTTGCCATGGCTTGGAGATGCCAGCTGCCCCCGCCCCGCGGGCAAACCGGGCTGAGAGCAGAGAGGTGATCTGTAACGGCAGTAAGAACATGAGCTTTTCGTTCCGTGTGTATCTGCCACCCACTCCCCATCGAACGGCACGCTGAATTGCCTGCCTGTGCGCACTTCCCTTTCTTGCACAAGTTTGTCAGACCCTGAATACACGCAGTTCTTCACGATAAATCCCTGCCTTCTCACGCAGACCCTTCCACTCCAGCCGAGCCATGCTGCGTTGCTAGCCACTGCTCCTGCGTTCCAAAAGCTCGGGTGCATCCCCCCTCCCAAATCATCACACCACACCTACAGTTCCCGTTCAGTTGGAACTATAAAAATGCAGGCATGAGAAGAAGGCAGGTATTAATATTCATGTTACTTCATCATTAACCATTCTTTGTACTAATCCATTAATTGGTATTATCACAGTCAGTGGTATGAAGTGAACGATATGGTCCTCCAAGACTACAGCCTAAAAGAAAAAAAAAAAACAACCAAAAATATGAGAAAATATCAAATAAAATAAAAAATTCAAACTTGAAGTGTTTAAAAAACCCACGTCCCCTGGTTACGTGTCTCAGGAAGGGGGGGGGGGAGGGGAAGTGTTTTAATTCTGGATTTAGTGCAGGGTTTTCCCGGTAGATGAACTTACATTCACTGTGCTTTTCTCTCCTCCCTCCCCTGCTATCTTGCAGCAAACGTATGCGACAACGAACTCCTGCATTGCCAGAACGGGGGGACGTGCATCAACAACGTGCGGTGCCAGTGCCCGCCAGCGTACACGGGCATTCTGTGCGAG